TTTTCGAAAAATTACATATACTTTACTCCTTAGAAATAGCCTGGGTATATTAATCCTCTTAATATACATTTGGATTTTTATGAAGCTTTGACCGTGCCAACTTATTTTTGGCGCAATTTATACAAAAGTCCTACATTTTTAAATACCTAATTTTTATAATGAATAATAGCCATTTCGGAAATGGAAAAAAATTTACTTCTTGGGGTAAACGATGACGTCTCGTATGGTGGCCAGATTTTGAATTGAAATTGTTTTCTTTAATTAAAAAAAATAAAACAAGACTTTTTTTCATTCGAAGTAGTGAGGATTATGGTCTGGAGCTTTCCAGCGGGCCTAAGCCTCTTCTATTCTAAATCTATGTTCTACTTGTATATATATATATAAAACAAATTATTTTCCTAATGACCTTTTGAGTGTACATATCAGAAGACACTAACATCATTACTGATTACCTCCTCAAACAATCCACCATGTCTAGTACTTGTAAACAATAATTTTACATGTTGTGTTATTGTATATTTTTATTCAATTGTATAATTAATTTTCTTTAAAAATTTTAAAAAAACACCATTTTTTTATGACAATATGATTTTTGTGCGTTGCAAATGCAACGGGACGCAATAAAAAAATCGATATTCTTACAGCTGAGAACTTCCTCAACAAATTGCATATTTTGGATAAAATTGAGTAAATTTTAACTGAAGTCTTTGAAAAAAAAAAACCTTAAATTTTTTTATGATTTATAACCGCTAGGGAATTAAATTAAAAAAAATATATTTTTATTTTATAATCTTTATATGTTACTTAAAAACCAAGCATTTTATTTTTTTTATTTTATATATTTCAATAGCCAAAACAAATTAATGAATTATCGGCATTTTTATTTTCAACATATTTTCAACTTAAGTATTTACTTTTCAAATACATAGCTATTCTATATAATAATAACAATAAGACATTGCATAGGATGAAATTCTGTTTTTATTAACAAAATTTGTTTTTATATTAAATGTCAAGAGAAATTGATAACAAAAAATAAAAATACCTTCTCAGCTCAGCCACAAAGTTAAAATATTTTTAAAAGAGATTTTCTTGTAAATCTATTTATATATATAAAATAATGACATCACAAGTTATGTATTTGGTGTTAAAGATGCCGAATTTGGTATCAGTTTTCAATTATTTTACCCTGTATTTTTGGTATAAGGTCATTTTGATACCTTTTCAGATCCGCACCGAAGAAACAGAACATACGATCATGTTTATTCGTTTAAATAAATGATTATTAAAATGATGTATACAATGACTATGAATTGTATTTATACAAGGTGATCATTTTAAAGTTATCCATTCAATAACTCATGGGGTTGAATCAAGTGCACCTGCTGGGAGTAGCAGGGGGGACAAAACTCCTCCCTAGCTTCTCTGCTAGTTAAAAACAATTTTATCCAATATCGCAAATTAGCAAAATGTATTACGAAATCATAAATATTCTCCTGCAGACAATTCTCTTGTGTTGAATAAGTTAATGCAATTTTTTATGTAAAACATAGTATGGCTTTTATAAAATGTGAATGTAAAACAAAAATTGTTGCTGTTTTTTCAAGCCGATATATTTTTTGCGTTTAATGTGAAAACATGTTTTTTTATTATTTGAACAATACTTATGCACATTATTTTTGTACTTATTTATGACACCTTTAGATTTTTAAAAGGCCTCTGTCTCTAGGAGTATTTCAATTCCTGACGAAGTCTATTTAAAATAAATCTAACATCTTCATTAATACATTTTAAATACAAGTAGTATATAAGAGTGGATTATTGGGGTATTTGGAAACAGATGAGGCAAATATAAATTTGTTCTATGCACATAAAAATGAATGTTACACAATTAAATGTAATTATTTATATTATATTGAATGAAAATTACAATTAAAAAAACACAAACATTAAAAAAAAAAATAAGTCGATGCTTAAAAGAATGCAAAAACAAACGACGTGTCATACTTGTCCTGTCATATTTTGGGGAAGGTATGAACGATAAGCGGGAAAGATAGATTTAACCGCGAAACAAGTAAAACTAACGTCCAAAACCGGCTCATCGTAACAGAAACTGTTATTATTACTAGTGTATTCTACTATTTTAAGTTTTTTTATTGTATAGATGAGAGAGGATCTCGTTTGTGAGATAATTCCAAATGTCAAAGTTTTAAATCAAGTTATTACCCGTTAAAAATCACGAGCTCTACTTTATATTAACTCGTATATTCAAATCAAATAATATGGTATAGTCTTTTATAAAATGTGTAGGCAAAATAATAATTTCTGTGGTTTTTTCAAACCGAAATATTTTTTTGCGTCGAGTACAAATAAAGGTGTTTTTCGTTAGAACAATTCTTATGCAAATAATTTATATGCTTATTTACTACACCTTTAGATCTTTAAAACGCCTCTATCTCTAAGAGGATTTTAATTCCTGATAGTCTTAAAAAAATTGAAATGAAATTTACTTTATTTTTGATAACTACAAAAAACGTTAAAATTGTATGGCATACTGAGAGCTTAACTGAGGTTGAGCTTGTAAAAAAAGTCAATTAAGACTATGTTGATGTTAAGTTAGCCATTTGGGATGATATTTAAAATTAAATAGTTTGGTTTACATAGTTTGAAATATATTTTTGGTGTTAAGTAAAAACACGTTTATTTGTTATAAGCAACGCTATAATAAAATGTACAAGATTTATCTGTTGTTTGTTTTTTTTAATACGATAAATTCGTACTTAGGTCACCATTATATTCGTTTAGTTTAACATGAAAACATGTTATTATTTAAACAATACAAGTGCAAAATATTTTTCTGCTCGTGTACTACAACTTTAGATCTATGAGAGGCCTCTGCCTCTTGGAATTTCCAACATAAATTCGTCCCATACATTTTTATTTATCAAAAAAAAAAGGCCAGTACAATTTATTACAAAGAAACGAAAAATTTGTTGGTAAAAGGGTGAACAATTACTTGCCTAAAGGCTACAAATGTTTAAGTCCATTACCGGCTCTATTATAGAAAACTATTTCCAAAAATCTATAAATTTCTATAATTTTTTATTTTGTTTAATTTTAAAAAAAAAAATTGAATATAGCCATTGTATTACGAATAGTTTGCTGAAATATTTGACTGACCGATAACCAGATTTGAATAATTACTTTTTAAGTAATTACAGGTTAAAGAGTAGGATGGGAGGGGGAGTGCGGCAGATTAATGCATGCAGATAAAAAAATAGCTCTACGCGCTTACTCTGCCGTACTTCACCTACCATTTTACCATTTACCTTATCATATTGGTAGTTCACGAACCCGGTTTCTTAAATTTTTTTTCGGTCTATAGTAAAATACGAATCTATGTATTTTGTATTGCATGTGTTAATGTATGACTAACATACACGTGTTATATTGTTACAAGTATTGTAGCAAATACAAATGGTGTATAAAAACCAATCACAATACTTAAACAAATGTTTTTTCACCAACGTATGTAAAAAAATATTACACATATGTTGTATTTTAATGTACAAAAATGTTATTCGCTATAATTGTTGGAACACTAGGGTTCTCAGGGCCACGAAAGAACATAGTGCAAACATTTAAATAGGTATCCATACAAACAATAACACAAAATACGCTAAAAAAAACACTTGCTTTTGATAAACAACATCCGTAAAATTTTGTATGGTATTATTTGTAAATTTAGCTATGGACTATCAAAAAAACTAACATTTGAATATTTTACTTTCAAACTTGTACACCTAGCTAATAAAAAAAGCCCAGTTTTAAAAAAGCCTATATTTGTATAAAGAAAAGCTACTAAGGGGTCAGGCCATAATGGGGATGGAGCATCTTAGGGCTGGGAGGTCACACGTATGAATTATTACAACTGAAAGTGATAAAATCACATTTAATTAAACCCTACGATGCGAATCTGTAATGTCGGTGGTCTGACGAAAGAAATAATTTTGGTAACGACAGAAGCCTCAAAACCATATTGAGTACCGAGAATGTTCCCAAATTGTTCAATTATTTAAAAAAAATCAACATGTATAATAATTTGTAAATGTATTGTATTGTAAAAGTTCAATTATATTGTAAGTAATTAACCAATGTCTGGCTAATAGCCTAGCTGCTGAAGCCATAATAAAAATCAAAAAAAAAATCTGTAATGGTATAAATACAATTATCGATCGAAGTATTGTACCTAATGACAATAATGTGCTTAAAAAATGTAATTTTATTATTTGGATCAATACGATTATGGTTTATCATCTGCCTTTAATACAAATTTTGATAGTTTTAATTAATTTTATATCTACACATTGAATGTATAATTTTAAATTATTACAAAGTAACCCCCCCCCCATTCGATTCGTAAAAAAATTTAAGCCAACTTTGAACTTTCTATTCCGATCCTAATCATTCCCTGTAACAAGGAGAAGTTTTCCATTTAAAATACATGCAATTTCCCTATTTTAACTTGATTATTGTATTACAAGGGCAAAAAATTAATGACGAAAAAAATTTAATTTTATGAAACTGTCGAGTATTAGTGATACTTTTAATCATGAATAAATAAATTATATTAATTCGTGCTTTTAGGTAAAAAAAATATTGACGTCTGCTTAGTACCGTATAGTTCAATAACAACAAAGAATGAGGATCACAATCCATAGCTGAAACTGATTGTGTCGAAATTTCATAGGGTATTTACTGATACCAAAAAAGAAACGATTATAAAGAATTTTTAAAATGAGCACTCAATAAATTTCAATAACTTTATAATTCTACTAAAAATTTATCGTGCTAGATTTTTTATTGTTACCTGTTTAGTTCAGAGTTTTAGATATGAATAGAAATAAATATATTTTTGTCTGTAAATGAATTATGAATTTATTGATTTATAACATGTATACAGTTAAAAATATAACAATATTATATAGGTACTTTAACAATTCCTGATGTATTTATAATTGATGGATGATTAATAAATAATATTATTAAATGATATTAACATTAAACAATAATAATAGTGATAAGATTTTAAAACTGATTTAGCTGGATTGTCGTTATGTGTACTAAAAAAACGTATGTCAAACACTTATATCAATTTCCAAAACTCGGGGACAATTCCCATTGACTGCCTAATTCGTTTCGGTTGGTTCCTTCCTAAATAAACATAATATCAAATTAACAACATAATTTTCAATAGTTTCATTGTTAGCTATCTGATATTTACAATTAATAAAAATAAATAGTTATAACAGTTAACCTCTTAGCTGTTATAACTATTTTGTTAAGTCCAATTTTTTTTAACCAAAATCAAAAGAAAAGCCAAAACAATTTTCTTGTTCATTGTTTTAATTTTTTTCATAAAATAACCCATTATAACCACTTAATAATTAAAAAATACTAATATCAACCGATAGATTTCTAGCCAACACAGTACTCGTTATGCGGATAATTTTAACATACCATAATATACACCATTTTGTAGTTATTTTTTTTTTGAAAATTGATTTGTTTTTGCTATACTACAATATTAGAGAACATTCAAAATTTTATATTTTATTAGAGCTATATCAACTTTTGAAACTAACTAACTTTATAAGTTCTCTATAATCAGTTTGGATAACTACGTTTTAACTATAATAACTTTAAAGCTACCTATTTGTTAAAAACTGGTTATCGATGAATCAAAACAGTCAGTCAATTATTCCTAATTTAAATTTATATAATATACCTATAAGTATACATATAATAATATATATATATATATAATAATAGCTATACCAACTTTTAAAATTTAAACGGTAACATATAAATATGTATATATATATATATATTATATATATATATATTATATATATATATATATATATATATATATATATATATGTATTTATATGTTACCGTTTAAATTCTATAAGTTGGTATAGCTATTATTACTTTCAAACTGTTTACTTGTCATTTTCTTGTCCCGTAGTTGCATTATCGTTTTCGGTGTATATTGCTCTTAACCTCGCTACTACGTCCTTTTTAGTGGATGTTTTGTAACGTTGTGGGCAGTTGGAAAAATGTAATTCATTGGCTGGCGCTTCTACGCTTTTCAACTCGCCTTCGCCGTATAATTGAAACAATAGTCGTAGCGCCTCTGCAATTGCGTCCAAGTGAAATCGGGATAAGTCCTCGTTTTTTCCGTTATCTAAATCGGATAGGTACATCATAAATTTTCGACTGACGGTTTCGTTGAATATTTCATATTTTTTAACTAAACTCCCTTTGTGATCGACACACTGATTGGATATTTCCTCGTCGACCATTTTCAACATTTCCTCCAAGACGCACACAACGTCGTTTATATGGTCATCGGTCATTAGTGATGCTGAATTTCCAGGACCAAAAATTACTTTGAACATTTCAAATTGGACCGTATAGTCGATATTATATATAACTTGTTTTCGTAGTATTCCTGCCCACAGATATTCCGAATAAAACAAAAAATAAACCAAAAACGGATGAGTAAATTGTTTTTCGTTTATTTGATTACTTGGTCCTGCATCGCTTGGATAGGTTTTTGATCTGATGCCGAACCGTTCCCCAAGTCTGTTGTATTCGGTTACACTATGTTCGGGTACACTGTGATTGGGTTTAACCAAATCTTCCTCAACATATACTTGTTCAAAAAAATGTTCTTCTCTACCTGCAACCTCTTCGCTGTCTTCTGTGGGTTCCGATTGAGTTGGTCCTTCATGCTGTTCTTCACTTTCATCGGCGTTTTCCTTCAGAGACTCTAAATCGATTTTCAGTTTCTTCAAATCGTGCAACATTACGAACAAGTATAAACTAGTCGCTTTCGAAACTGCACAGCCGAATCCTTGTCGAATTATATTTTGAACCTGACCGATACTTACTTTTTCCTTCATGAGGTCGTTAGTTATGATAACCTCTAGTGCTTCGTGAATATTGAACGTAGCATCTTCTTTTTTCCCGATCAAATCCAACAAAGGGCGATTCTCGCCAATGATGTTCACGTTTTGTTTCAGAAAATCAACCGTCTCATCAGCTTCATCATCAGTATCAGTTAGAATCATTTTTATCGCATCTGTATCGAATTCTTCGATGTTATTTTTTATTTGAAGCTCTTCACCAAAAGTAGGCAAGCACAAAATAATAAGGGCACTTGATATACAAATGATTTTATACATTTTAAGAGCACGGGAAAAAACACAGTAAATCACGACCACTGAAATGCTAGGAACGTTTCAAAATGGTATGTGGTTTTGCTCTAGTTGTTTCTTACAAAAAATATAGAAAACCTTGTATACTTAAATTTTCAATAGTTCTTAAACACTAACGCACATTCGTGAACAACTTGAACAAACAAAATATGTTTGCATCGGCATGATGTGACTATGCAATGTTAATATCTGTAGGTGTTTATTTATTAGGAGACTTTGTTATGAGTACAAAAATTCTTGTGTGAACAGTTACATGTTAGTCATACATGAACGCGTGCAATAAAAAATACACACGAAAACAACAGTATTGAGTTATTGAAGTTTCAATCTTAGGACGGGACGAAAAGTGGAGTGCAATGTATAAGTTTTATCTTCGCGCACTTCCCCACCTGTCATAACTTTAAAAATAGTTGATCAAAACTGGTTCATTAACCAGTCAACATTTTTAGTAAAATATTCTTAATTTAATAAGTTAATACAATATAATATATACAATACCATATCAATTAAAAAATTAGATATACAAAAAATTAGTTTAGGAGGGGGTAAACACAAAAGAAATAAGATCACATTGTATAAAAATGATATAAAAAAAAAAATGAAATTTCAATCAAAGATTGTTAAAATGTATATTACCATACATTTTTTTTTTTTAAATACAATCTAATAAAATTAATATAATAATCAAAGGTATATTATATTCGATGTACCTAACGACTATGTCCTTAAATCTTACGATTGTACTGTTAGTGTAAATGAAACAGATGCATTCACTGTCTCACTAGAGCCGATAGGAAAGTCAATTAAAAATATTGCAATTAATTCATCCCCTGGGATTTTTTTAAGATCTATGGCCTAGATAATAACAAAATTAATTGCCCCGAAATTCTTAATGTCATTATCATCTTAATATCTCTTTAGTGTCCATTTTATTCTTACGTTCCACACCTGTATTCTACACCCCTGGCCATCGGCAGAACTTAACAGTTTCCGGTCCGGTAACAACGTTAAATTTTTTCATGATTTGTTAGATCGGCTAAATGTTTATATTATGAAGTATTTTTTGTTTAATACTACATTTTTAAGTTGTTTTAAGACACTCTAAGCTATACCTTATATTTCCCCATATATTTTTTTCTGTACACATTTTAATGTTTTTATTGATGGTTTGTTTGAACTAATTACTTTGTTACTTAATAAGCACTAATATTGTAATTGTTACTTCTAGTAAGGTAATTATCAAATTGACGGTATACGCTAATAGTCAAATTGACGATTTTCAATTTATACAGGTGCATTTTCTACTATTCCATAAATGCATTAATGCAAAATTATACATTTAAATAACGCAAAAGTCATACAATGTTTTTATTATTTTTATTTAAGCATTACTGTAAAATTTGAAGACTTACGGTTCTACCTACCGGAGTTTAAAAACTAAAGGAAAGACATTCAAGACTGCTTATAAAATATATGTTTGAGTTTTGACAAGTAATTTAACTAAAAAAATCCAGGAAATATTGTAAAATAAAAAAAACATTTTTAATTTTAGTCAAAACTTAACCATAACTATAATCAATTTGAAAGTTCTTTTCGTCAGCTTTTAAACGCTGCTAGCTAAACATTTAGATAAAATCACATTCAACTGAACACTTCTATGTGAATCTGTACACGGTAGAAATACAAATAACGATAAAAGCTAGTGCTATCACGGCAATAATATGCTAAAAATTGTATTTTTAGTAAAAGCATTGGCACATTTATAAGGGACCAAAAGGGACAATTGATTGCTCTGGTCGAAAATATTTTTCTAAATTCTATACGAGTGCAGACTGTACAGCTTTTTTTTTGTTGTTGGTGACATCGAGACGCAAAAGTTAAGTAAAATACCACATGTGTTTTGCATATATTTTACCAAGCCAAGGTTAAACGACAAAAGGTATTAACACCAACAGTAAAAATAAAACAGTAGGTACTAATCTGGAGTAATTAGTTAAAAGATTACCACAGTAGATTAAGCTAATTACACAGTAGCTCAATCCCAGTAGATATAGGTAGCTGGTTTCTAATTTTTTAAAGGATTTTTTTTCCTAGCTTTCGATACTTTTTTCAGCTCTGCGTGGAAGCGTAATATAATATACATTTTTTTATTATAACCCAAAACAAAGTGCGGCAGCTAAGGTTAATTTTTATTTTAAATCAGTAAAAACGTGTTGTTTAACATTTTCATGAAGCTTTTATGTTTGAATATAACATTAAAACAAAAATAACTACCGACACACCTTTTAGAATTTTAAGAATTAATACATACAATTAAAAAAATAATCTTACTACCTTGTTTTTTTAATTTTTTTTTTAAGTCATACATTAAACACGGTATAAAAGTTTGGCTTATTGATTATTTATCTTTTAAATAGGCTTTTAACTAAAACGATGGTAGGATGGTGAAACAATTATGAAACTCTGAAAGAATGATAAAACATTTTTTATTTACAATGCGATAATAATATAATATTAAAAATGTACTGGTAAAAGGTGGAAAAATTGACTTGCATAGAGGCGACTAATGTTTAAATCTACCGCCAGTCTTTCAGTAAACCACTTTTTGCTAATTTTTCAAATTTCGTTCTTGACATATGACGATCTAGAAATCATTATGAAAATGTACCAAATTAAGTTATCATGTAGCGAATAGACTGGTTGCAATTATTATTATAATTGCGTTTTATGTACAATTTGTGACCATAATATCTGCCATTATCAAAAGTCATCTAAAAACAATAATTTGGTTTGACTGATTGTTTGTATTTAAATAATCTAAAATCGTATATTTATAAAATTTAATGAAATTATAGATAACTTAGTGGTTCGTGAGTGGTACTTTAAAATATTTTGATGTACCATTAAATTTATTGGTTCTTTATGCGATCCTGCATAATCGTTATAAAATTGTTTTGTAACATAGTTGGAAGAAAAAACAAAATAAAAGCGTTTCATTTTTTTATAACTTTATTTCCTAACTATCTTATCTGACAAATTCTGCATAATATTATGAGTATTGCTCGAAATTTTTGTAAACAAATTACATTATCTATAGATAATTTGTTATGTACATCTAATGATACGTTTTTACTCATCATTCATATTTATATTGTACAATATCCATTATTGCATTATTATTATTATTTAACATACCCGTCAAGTTGTTTGTTATCCTGTTAACTTCCCCTAAAGTTAGTCCATAAACGTGGTGTTCAGAGGTGTCCTTTAATAACCAGTCTCTCACTCCGTCTTTGGTAACTATTCCGTTTCTGATATCGCTAACGTCTTTATAAATTCTATCAAGTTGCTAAAATCATTTCATTTATATTTGTAATACTCAATGTAATTACTACTGTACGATACATAACGTAACTCGAACTATTACTAGTATATTAATAACTAGGTTTATAGAGTATTATATTTATATGTTTTTTTTTATAATATATATTATATATATATATATGTATATATATATAAATTGTAATGTACATATTATTATGTTATATCACAAATTTACATAAAAAAAAAATCATAATTACCTCTTTAGTAAGTTTTGTTTGTATAAGTTTTTTAAATTTCTCATTTGACATCGGAATATCTAGAAACCAGTATAAAAGTGGTCATACTAAAATTTACTTAATTGAACTTAATATTATGCTGCATTTATTTATTGTGGCGTTTTTGTACAATATTTGGCCATGGCGGGAATGTAGTATCATAACTTCTGTTTGTCAGTTAATTTAATTTTTAAATAACGTAAAATCGTGTCCTAATGAAATGTCATAAAATTAATATTGCAATATTAATTGAAATCACTCTAACCCCGTTATGAAATCGTTTTGTAACATAATTTGTAGAGAAATAAAATAACAGTGGGAATCGGACGTCCAGGTCGCCCTTACAGAGGGTCATCAAATGTGGGGGTCATTTCACTAAAATTTCATGTTTTTTCAAATCTTCCAAAATTAATTTAGTAATCTATTCACCAATAACTATTAAGTACCTTTAAAAGGACTAAAAAATAAAAAAATAAGTAAAAAAATACTTTTTTAAAAAATAGTAAAAAGTGAACTAAAAAGTAAAAAATAATTTTATCACAAGAACAATTTACCAATCAATTGTGTCACATTTTAAATAAATAAATATCGGTGATATTGAATTGAGTCCCAAATATTGAAATGAGTCCCACGAATATTTGTGGGTTGTCGGAATTGAGTCCAACAAATATTTTTTGGTTGTTTGAGTTGAGTCCCTTCAGCCTATTAGCGTTATGGAGGAGACACCACATGGAGGTTGGCTGATTAGTCTCCCAAAAATGTGTGTGCTTGCTTACAAATGCTTTGCTTGTTTATAAATGGTCAAAAAAAACTTTCAATTTTAATAATTTTTAAAAATTATTAAAATAATGTCTGAGTTTAAATGGTTGCTGGTAAAAATTTAAATGAAACAGATTTTAAGTAGTCAAATCTGCTAATTTTTTTATTTTGATGTTTGATAATCTGCTCCCGTAAAAATTGTTCTTTTTCCAATGTTTTTTTTACATGTTTTTGTTGTTGCATTGCTTCGTAATTTAATATAGGTATCTGACTGTATGCCTAGAAGAGTGACGGCAAGAATAAAAATATTCGGATGTCCTGAGTGAAACAATGCGTTTAATTTTGCATGAAGACTTTCACAGCTGTTAGTTGTCCGATTAGTGCTTGCTGAAAAAACACACCAAACTTTGGGAGGGGGGGAACTGTCCAACTTCATTGTTTATTTGGGACTCAATTCAATATAATCCGTGCAAATTCCCTCCTAATAATAGCAAAGGAGACTATGCTTACGATCTTATCTATGTAATCAATTCAAACATATTAAGATAAGAAACGGGACTCAATTCAAATAACTAAAAGTAGGATGGACTCAATTCGATGTTATCCATAAATATTTATCAGATAACGTTTTATATTGTAAGTTCTTTTGTAATTTAAATTTAGTTTAATATTTGGGTGTGACACAAATATTTCACAATACTTAACTCAATGAATTTGGACTTTGTTGAATAGGGCCATCGCTTTTCTTTTTAGTCAACAATTAAAGACGTTTAACATTAATACAAATTGTAGTTCATTTTCGGTTGTTTTTAAAGTAGTTGACATTTTAAACTATAAAATGTGATACAATTGATTGGTAAATTGTTCTTGTGATAAAATTATTTTTTACTTTTTAGTTCACTTTTTAATATTTTTAAGAAAACTAAGTTTTTAAAAAAGTTTTTTTTAATTTTTTTTTAAATGTTGGAAAAAACCCGCTACCTCTATTCATTAATAATGTACAACATCAAAGTTATTATTAATCAATCACGTAATATAGTTTTGCACATATTATATATTTTTAAACATCTATTGCTAAAATATTATTATTTCACGTGCCTGTCATTCTTGAAATTATATAGTGGACCTCCTGTTCAGTTAGATTATGTTCCGATCCCATGCTTTTAACACTAAAGTAGTGTTCTACAGCAAGCTTGGTTACGTTTCCTTTTTTAATATTGGTAGGAGCAGAATCAATAGAACATGATTTTATTTTGACACATCTATCTTCGTCTTGAACCGCGTTGTAAAGTTTGTCAAGTTGCTGAAATCATTACCTTTTTTTTTTTAATACACAATGCGAATACTCTATTATAGAAATAATTTTTTCTTGAGTTATTACTAGTAGGTATATTACTCAATAGGTTTATAAAGTGCTTATTTTTTTCTCTTTACGAATCATGTATTTAGATAGAAAGAATTCACAATTACCTCATCAGTAAACTCTGCGTTTGCTATGCAAATATAAAGAAACATGTACAAAAAAATAATAAAATATTTTAAATTCATTATGATATTTTTTTTCAACGCTTATGACACTTGAATTAAATTAATTTTTTGCAGTTAAATAAAACCTAAATGTTTTACTCTTTTTAATATCTCAGTTGTAGTGATTTCAGTGTAAAACTTACTGATAAAACGCATATTTTTTTGGCCAATAAGTTGAAAATTCACATTGAAATATAAAACAAATAATAGTGACTATGGCCTACAAGTCATAAAAAACAGTAGTTGTTTTGCCGTTTGACAAACGCCAAAAAAGTATTACTTGTTTACACAACTGTCTTGCAATAAAATATTATGTACAGTGACGCAACTACTACCATTTTGCAGGCCCGGGGACTGGTGTTAATTTTTAGAGGCACCTTTCGACTTATTAAATAATTGATTTTTCGGGCCCTTAATTACAACAAAAAGTTATTTGAAGTTATTTCACACTTAAAGTTTCTCATGTATCATTATATCTGTTTGAAAAAAAAACAAAACAGAATTTAAAATACTACCTATACATTTTATAAAATCCACATCATATCATCTGAATATTCAATTAACGTTGATAAGTCAAAAGGTCTTCAGAAATATTTATGGGTACTAAATATGTACCAACACAATGAGATAGCAGAAATGGAGATGTCATTATTTTAAAAAGACTTATCAGGAATAAAAATCCCCCTAGAGACAAAGGCCTCTTAAAGATCTAAAGGTACAGTAAATAAGCAGAAATACTCGTATAATATGCATGTGTATTATTCAAACAATAAAAAACATATTTTTGTACTCAACGAGGTATCTAAAGTATGTGTTAAAGTTTCTAATGTATACATATATTATCTGTAAAAAAAAAAACAACAGAATGTATAATATAAGCATCATTTTAACAAGTTCAAACTAAAATCTTCAAAAAGAATTATTCATGGACGCAATTTGTTTATAACCCATTATCTTTTATACGAATCTACTGGTTGTCTCTAGATTTATTTTTAAATTCTGTTTTTACCAAATAATTTTTTAATAAAATATAATTATCCCCAATTGAATTAACCTGACATTTCAAATTTATTTCTTAGATATTTATTATTAATTAAAATGTATAAAGTTTAAATCTATAAAACAGAAATGGAGATGGCATAAATTAGAAAAACTCGTCAGGAATTGGAATCCATTATCAAGTTGTAGTACATATAGAGAAAAATATTTTGGGCATGTATTGTTTAAATAATAACATGTTTTCATATTAAACTAAAAAACATGAAGGTTATCTAAACACGAATTTATCGGTTTGCAGCGATACTACCAAATAATATGATTTAATATAATGTGTATTATACGAATGCTTCTTCTTAGGATACTAACATTCGATTTCTGGCTAGAAACAAATAAAATGTCTTGCCAACAAAAATACAAAATTACAGTTCTTTTAAAGTAATATATTAGTTTATATCTAAAATATTATTTCAAAAATTAAAAACTGTGTCATTATGAAGGGTTGTTTGTAAAATAAAAACTTTAACAATCCTAGGCATTTGTACTACTTGAACCTCAAATGTATTAATATCGCACTTTATAAACAATGTGTTCATTTTAAAGATTAAATATGATGGAACGGGTTATCAGAAATGTTGAAGATGTTATATTTATTTTATATAGACTTCGTCAGGAATTGAAATACTTATTGGGACAGAAACCTTTTAACGATCTAAAGGTGTAGAAAAATATCGAACATAAGTATTGTTCAAATAATAAAAAACATGTTTTTATACTAAACACAAAAAAAAAAAAAATAAGGTTACCGAAGCACAAATATATCTATAGACTATATATATATTGAAAACAAAACAGATATTATAATTTTGTCAACACATTTTATAAAAGTCATATCATATTAACTGATTTAATATACTATACGAATAAGGTTCTCTTAATAAGATAATAACGAATAATCGAGTTGATCCTAATACTAAAAATATATTTTTAAGCACAATATTGTCATCAGTTACAATACTATTTTATAAATAACATTTGTTCTATAAAATCGCTTTTCATTAAGGCCCCTGGATTCCGACCGTTTTTTCAGCCAAAGCACATAATTTTGTGTCCATCGCACAGGCCGAACCAATCATCCGATAAGCAATCTAAAAACCGATATGAATTTGTCATGAAGTTTACTTGAGATCGGTCAGAGCATTTTTTTAAATTTTTAATTTCAACCCTTTCCAAATTTTATTTTAAAATTTGAAATTTTATAAAATGTTCAAACATGCGATGGACAAAGAATGTACTATTATTTGACTAAAATGGCTTTTACTCGTAGACAAAATAATTTAAATTAAAAATAATACCATGAAGTTTGTACAAATTAACTGGTTAATTAATTGACGTTTTCGAAATTTTGTAAAACCACTTTTCTCTTAAATATTGCCTATATAAAACTCCTTAAAAATGGTCGGTATCCAGGGGCATGTACATATGATTTTATTGATGGTATGTTAAAACTAATTATTTTAGTTTAATTATATTATGCAATATAAATAATCCATTCCCAATTGAGCGTAATATTTCAATAAGCAAAAAAGTTTTTAACATATTTATTTTTGGTTTTCAACTAATTTGACTTTTTGCCAATAATGTATGTAAGGGTATGAAAATGGATAAAGCATTTTGGACCGAAAAGTGCACACAAAATTTTTATTTTATATTTTTTAAAGTAGAGGGCATAACTATATTGAATCTGAACGAGCAAAATCTAGAGTATTATAATGCACAATTTAAAATCAAAGAATAATAATTTATGTAACTGTAATAGTATTATAATATACAAAAATTACACTTTTAAAAAATGTGTGGTTTTCATTTCATTTAATAGGGAAATATTGGCTCAAGTTTTTATACTAACGTTGGGTACAAGACAGAATTTTTTTTTTTATTATAAGATAAATTTATTAATTTCTATAAATATTAGAATATTTTAAAAAACCCATGTTCCATGCTAAAATACATAATAGCATAATTTTTCATCTGATCTAAAAAATTATAAAAAAAAACCCTAACTTAACATGGGCGTAGTTCACCAGTGTAATCATAAAAAAAAATCTAATACAAATAATAAAACGTCAAAAATATTAATACTTATATGGAAGTGATTTGCAAGGAAAATCAATTTTCTATGAAACGTTTGGTTTACAAAAAGCTGATAAAATACCATTTTGTTATAAGTTGGTTATGTAAACATTTAGCTGTACATTTTTCGACTTTGTCAAATGGCAAACCAACTACTGTATTTTATGTTTCATACGCTATAGCCTCGATTATTTATTTTTACAAACAAAATCCATATGTATTTATTAAATTTTACACTGAAATCGCTAGAACAGCAGCCATTAAAAATAATAGAAATAGTTTATGTTTTAAACAACTGCAAAACATTATTCGAGTAACGTGTGCGTTGAAAAATACAATAATGAATTTTAAATATTTAATTATTTTTTTGTGTACGTTTGTGTATATTAATATAACAAATGCGATAATTTTCGAAAATGATCAGGTAATTTTTAATTTTTTCTATCAAATTATATAATTTATTAAAAAAAAAAAATGAAACACTATTCCACCTATCGAGTAATATACTAGTGATAATTCGAGACACTAATTTTTATAATAATTGTATCATTCACATTGTGTATTAAAAAAAAAATGTAATGATTTTAGCTGCTTGGCGAACTTTATACAAAGATAAAAAATGAAAGTATGAGACTATATTCTAGTGATAATGTTACTAAGTCTGTAGTTAACACATACTTAAGTAACCCAAAAGCACGCAATGATTGGAGAATGAAAAATTGGGAAGCCAATAAGATAATTAATTCCATGTGGAGTAGTACGTTGAAAAAAAATAGTACAGTAATAGATATTATAAAATATTATATATATATAACATGTGGAATGTGTAAACTACTAATCACTTTGAAGTTGTACATAAATAAATATTGATAGGTATTAAGTAGTGTGTTTTTTCCAACATTTCTGAGGAGTATTTGGTGACTTTTGATATGTAATAGGTATTACATTAGGGTTTAATATCCAGATATAATTCATAAAACCCAAATAATTATAATTAACACCACGCCGTATGTTACAGCATAATTAGTAAATTTTAATGCCAATACTTTTATGATGATTTCTAGAGGAACCTATGTCGAAAGTGCAGTTTAAATTATTAATAAAATCATTATTTACTTTTGAGGTAATTATGAGTTTTTCATCCAAATATAATATGATACCTTAAAAAAAAAATTATAATAATTAAATACTTTATAAACTAGTGAATAATATTATAGTAATAATTCGAGATACACTTATTCTGCAATAGTAGTGTTCACATTGTACATTAATAACAAGAATTTAATGGTTTTAGCAACTCAACCAAATTTATAACGAGGTACTTGAATTTAATGCGAAAATAGAGTATGAATTTGGTGTTCGCATGAAAACAAGCATTGTTGACAAGCAAGCAGTTAAAAAATACTTTTTTCTTCACCCCCATGGACTAGTTAAAGAGGAAATCGAAGAGATAACTGAACATTTGCTTGGTACGTTGAATAATATTAATTCACTCGTAGATTTTGTAACCTATGTAACATGTGTAATGTGAACAACTATTACTTACTTTAATGTGGTACATAAATTACTATCGAAGCTAGAAAATTGTATAATTCTTAGACTAATTTTAATTAATATTGAAATATTCCTTTTATGACGTTTCCCATGACATTTTTTTTAGACACGATTGTAGCTTATTTAAAAACTAAATAAGCGGAAAAACATAACTATTGTTTTTAAATAGCTTTTGAAAATACTCGTTGTGGCCAAATATTGTACATAAAAATGATATAATAATAATTGCGACCATTCATTTTTTTACAGGATAATATAGTTTGATACATTTTAATGTGAATATTTTTATAATGATTTCTAGATAAACATATGTCAAACGAGAAGTTTAGATATTTAATGATATTTAGAAATCCTTATGTACAATATAACACCAGCCAGTAGTGGATTTAAACATTTGCAGCATCTAGGCAAGTAATTTGTATTCAACATCAACTGTAATTACAAATACAATTGATGTGTATTTAATAAAAACTACATTTATTGCATTAAAAATAAACAAAGTTCCTAAGAGCATTATAGAAAATTACTGTTTATCTGCTAATCTTCGGATACAAAAATCGTATATATAAACTCACCCCAAAAATACAGTTTATAACTCTTATTAAATTACCCTTTGACTGTAATACATTTCTGGTTGTTTTATCAGAATACATAAGCTGATAGTTTATCTACATATGTAAACAACTATATGAGAAATTGCTTTTTAATGTTCTTAATTACGATAATATATTATGTATTGTCCACAATGGCAACAAATTTTTTACACAGAATTTACTCTAACCGTATCGAATTACAAAAAAAAATATTTTATGCACATTTTACTGTTTTCTAAAGAGTATAGTTCATTAATTTTAGTTATAACTCAAAATTATTCTTAAAAGTTGCTGACTTCCTAAACCAATGAATAATACATGTTATATAATTTATATTTTGTGTTATTGTCGCATAGTAAATTTGTTTTTCATATCAATATTTCAGGGCTACAAAATTACTACAACATACTATTGTCGTTCACTGTATTATTCAAAAAGTCAAACTATTTAGAGTATTTCAATTTTCATTTATTACTATTTAAAAATAAAATTAAGGTACTATGAAGTTAGCTTATTTTTTGTACAGTATGTATTTTTTCTTATAATTTTAAAGGGTTTGTGTGTATGTGTGGGTTATTTTTGTTTTAATCAATTACTGTATTATTTGTAAATGTTATTATTGAACATTAAAAATTCATAAAAATGTTAAATAACTCGTTTTCTGTTGATTTAATATATAAATTAACCTCATCTGCTGCGTCTTTGTTTCTGATAATAATAAAATATATGCCTCATACAGAAACGAAATGTTAAGCAATACAAAAAAGAGCAGCGTTGCTAAAAATAGTAGGAGTGAAAAGAGGTTATAGACTAAAGAAAGAGTAGACTTTGTCTCAATGTAGAAACCACTACATTGACAGGCTGACTTTTTTGGGAGAAGGACTTGACCCTTTTTTCATGGTTAGGTTTATGTTGGGAATTATAGGCACTATTATTTATTATAAATCTTAAATGGAGTTTTTTGTTTCTTGTATTTTTAGCTTCGATGCGGAGCAGAGATACTATTGGTCTTACAATGATGTAAGCTGTTTTTGTGTAACACCACTGTCATTTTTTTAATACCGGACCAATTTCTTAGAGTAGCACAATCTATAAAACACTTTTTTTTGTGTGAAGTTGGTAAAAGTTAAAAAAGTTCACTTCATCAATCAACCAGTTTTCGCAAATTTCGTATAATGTAACATGAAAACTTTTAATCTTAAAACAAATCAAAAATTACAAAATCCCGCAAGTGTTTTTTGGACATTAATTACTTAGAGTGATCCTTGTAAGTTTGCCAGTACATTGGAGTCGTGGCATAGGGACGCCTGAGCATAGTCGGGTCCGGTAAATAGTAGAGACTACGAGGTCACTGGATTATAGGAATTATTACTATATATTTTAACTATTATTATATTATTTTAAAGTGATTTGTCACTTTCAGTTGTAATAATTCACATAGACCTGTGAGCTCTTCCGCCCACTATATGTATACTTAAAACAAAATAAAACTGTTATCATGGATGGCATACGTACTCAAACTATTGAACATTTGTATCCACACAAACATTAATACAAAATATGCTAAAAAAACTAATTTTTAGTAAACAACAAACCGTAAAGTTCGCATGGTGTTGTTTGTATATTTTGCAATCGTATGTGCAGATATATTATTTTGTGCGCAGCATTTTACGAATCATGATATATTATTAACTTTGTTGATACTTACATGCACGTGTAGTGTGTAATTTTCAAAAAATGGTTACTTTGTGATAATGTAAGACAAGGCAATCTTAGAACCAATATCTATATGCATACAGTCTGTACATAAAAAATCTATTAATATTGCCAAAGCTCGTAACCCCCTAAAAAATGAATTCATCGTTTTCATTTGTATGTACAAATTATTTTACCACTTTCGGTAATCTTATAATTCCTGAAACCCGTCATTTCTTCAAATCGTAATATTTTTTTTTTACAGTTGTATTAGTTGTATATAGCATTGCTCACTTCATGTTTTACAGTCAGCGCTCCGTGTCAGCTTTTTAGATACGAGCACACATAAGTCATAATGTGCACTACACATTTGATCAAACACAAGTTTCCTAATAACATGTTTTTTTGGGTCACAAAAAAACCACTTCAAGCTTACTGACGGAATCAATCGTTTTTCGTAGCAACTAAACGGCGTAACGCCATTTTGATATGTACAAGGCGGTGCATTTAACGTAGGATGACACTAAATATCTTTTAAACTGATAATTAGTAAAATGATTGCAAATATTGCTAATGTTATATCACAATTTTATGAAATGACTAAATATTAACTTTTTTTAGGATTATCCAAAGCTCTGTCAAATTATGACCATTAAACGTTATTTAATCAACGATTAGAAAACCACAACCAATGTTGTTAGTATTGATAAGATATCATTTTATTTCTTAAATAGAGAATGAGCATTAAAAAAAATGCTAATATTTTGGATACATGGCAGGGGTTTAGACCGTGATTTGGTCAATCTAACACACTAGACTCGGCCATTGAACGACTTAATTTTGTAACATAAAAACGAAACGTAATTTTAAATGTGTACCAGCCCAAAAACGTATTCATGTTAAAATCAGCTAGAATCGGGTAATTATACTTAAAGTAATAAAATAAATTCCAACAAAATAATAGAGCAAAACTATTTATAATTTAATCAAAACTACATTTGTATGTGACAAATTACACATATAAATATATTATATTACTTATTTAATAAAAGTTAATAGTTACTAAAACTGTACTGGAAAAAAAAATTCAATGACGATGTATTCAACTTCCTTCCTAGTAAAGTTGCACTCTGCGAGTACAAAATAATATTATTAACTTTTTAACAAACGAATCAGGTCAATTTAATAGCAACTGAGTTATTTGAGATTCGATACACTTGCTAAAAATATTTTTATTTCAAATAATTGTGACGGAAGAATAACAATGTAAATTAAAATTTTACATTGTAGTAAAGTTCAAAAAATTTAAAAAAAATGTTCAGGAAATGTTCTAGTATTATTGAATATTTATTCATACGTTTGTACAACTAACCATACAATTTAAACCACTTTTTATTCATATTTTTGACACACTTTTTGTTCATATTTCAATGTATAATTTTTTTTACCAAGTTTCAGTCTGAGAGCCTTAACCTTCGTTTTATGGAGGAGGTGTTACGGACGCTGTCCTTCACCGCGCCTAAACACACACATATCCACATAAAGAGCACGTATACATTATATTAATGTGGTAAAGACAATGTTAACATTAAAATACAAGCGCAATGCCGGAAGTGTGATTTAACCCTCGTTAGCCACAACCGATATAGTATTGCAAATATACAATCGCATGTCCGCTGTGGCATCCGGGCACGTACATGATTAGATTACCACTACACACCCATATAAATAGGAGTAAATCACAGGCTTCAGACAGACGAACTAGAGCACTCAATTGGACAAGTGGTCTTTTCATTGTTTTGTTTGTACACTTGTTGTTTTACTCTAAAATAAAGTATTTTTAAAACTGGAAGTGTTTTTTCATTATAATATTTTTTAAATAAAACATCTCCCTGCATCGACGAGAAGACTACAAATAATCTTAATAACCTAGATTAATATTTCAGGCTATTACACAGACAAATATGGCGTACAATTGTAGTATATTATAATACAGTATTGAAGTTACAGTTTTCATAGGGAAGTAATTGTTTGTATACAAATATTTCGATGCATATTTTGATTTATATTTAACTGCATACATCAGATAGAGTCCCAAGTCCAAATAGTTGGTACAATAGCTTTCTTCAAAATGTCATCGTACATGAACCCTAGATTTTGGAAATACTTTTGAGTGATTTCGTGTGCAAGTGAATCTATTCGAGCTTTGACGAAATCTGATACAGAGATGTAATGGTTTGAAATTTCTTGTTTGTAAGCTTCTAAAAATATGTTGTAAGTCTGCATACTCGTATCCGGAAACTCGCATCTTTGGAATACAAGTCCCATTAAAACTTGTATATTATCTTTAATGAAAGCAGCTAAACTATCCAAGTTTTCAAAAATTATATTAGTTAAGCTCTGCTCTATATCTATATTGATGTTAGACAGTAAATAATATCTAATCTCAAATAACTGATCTCTGAACTCTTTAATTTTACATAACTGTTCATAATCTGGACACAATTCGTGAAAATAGTCTAATGCGCAGTACATGAGTTCAAACATTGATAATGAGTCTTGCGCTCTCTTCAAAGCACAATTATAACAGTGCGCTAACTCTTGGCCATCAGATATGAAATTTGTCTGACAATAATGTAAATTATGTCTTAATATATTTAAAAACTTAAACAATACTTCCACATACTTACAAAATAATAAAGTAACAATCATAAACAATTTTGCTTCGACATTTTTGTCGTTTACTGCCGATTCGTGTGGGTAGAGAGTTTTTAACAGATCTTGTGATGAAAATACAAAATAGTTGTTGTATTTCACCATGAACATACCTCGGACGTTATCGATTTCTTGCCATCCGTTAAAATTGTACAAAAGGGAATCAAGACGGGCTATTAGCAGTTGTCTGGGATTATACAAACTAAACGGCCATTGTGTTACAATGAGTGGCACAAATGTTGTCTTTATAGCTGTGATGTATTTGAAACCTAGTTTGTCGTAGTAATTCTGAATAACTTCATTTCGGAGACTATCCATTTGAGTGGCGACGTACTTGTTTATATCCGAAAAGCCGTATTGGAGTTCCATTGAGTCGATGTCATTGAGTAATATACAATTTTTTTC